CCTGTTGGTGTAGTGTTGACAGGTTGGGTTGCTTACCATAAGGTCAGCAGTTCAAAACCACCACCTGTTCCTTGGGAGGAAGGTGAGGCTTTCTGCTCCTGAAAAGATTTGTATCCCGGGAAAACCATAAGGGTAGTTCTATTCTGTCCTGTAGGGTCACCGAAGGCAAAATGGACTTGATGAAGTAACCCTCCCCCACCCCCCCATGCCCAGAAGAGATTTCACTCCCATCAAATCCGTTCTGTCTCCACCGGGACCCGATAGAGGATTTCCAGCTCTAAATCTTTACAGGAGCAGACAGCCTCTCCTTTCTGTCATGGCGTGGCTAGTGGGTTTGAACTTCAACCTTGCAGTTAGCAGCCCAATGCCTAACCCACAGCGCAACTAGGGTTCCTTAAAAGAAGGAATTAAAGCCTTTATAAGATGACAGCTCAGTTGGGACACGTGGTGATCTTCGGCTTGGAAAGTTTATTCTGTTTCTGTTGTTGCCTGAGAGGATGGCTGGCATTTCTAAGTTTCTCTGAGAGGCAGTAAGTGAAGAAGGAAGTAGGGAGCTGGGCAGGTGTAACCGAAATCAGTGCGTGCCCTCGCCATGCCCGGCTCACCTGCTACAGAAGATTCCAGCAAATGTTGAAGGTAAAAAAGTTCATCATCAAATTATCTTTCACTTAATGCCCTGGTAAGTGATTCTGTGTGCCCTGATCTCTCTGCTACTTGCCTTTTGAGGGCTTTGGATTCCCATGGCAGGGATTAAGAGCTGTGTTTTTGTTTTGTGGGCAATGAGATACCAGAAGGTTGGCCAGCCTTCTGTTGATGGAAAGGACATGAAAAACGACCGCGACAGTGAAGCTGCCAATTGAGAGCCCCACTGAATTCCTTCCTGGTGATCCTGGCTCTCGATTTTGTATATGACTTACAGCTGCCATGGGCAGTCCCTCCTGTCCTTATTCAGCAGAATGCACATCGGCCTTTTAGGGGTTCAATAAACAACCCCCCACCCCCACCCCTACAGTCCCAGGCTTCAGTGCACCTGCTCTGGCCTAGATGGAAGTGTGCAGTGTGCAGGGTCGTAAATAAACGATGCATCTGGGGCTGTGGGGAGCCAGAAAGAAAGGAGGGGGCAGTGAGTGGGATGATAGGGATGCATATATTCAGACAACTCCTGGGTGGTCTAGGCTGTCCTAAACATGAAAGGTGTTCATTTCTTTCTACCTCTGGTCTTGGGTGTGAAGGCAAGTGTGGGTTACCTGACAGTCGTTTGATTGATTTGAGGATTTACTTACATGTGGTTAAGATAAATAGAACCGAGTGATTTTTCTTCAAAGGCTTTGTGTGTGTGTGTGTGTGTGTGTGTGTGTGTGTGTGTGTGTGTGTGTGTGTGAGAGAGAGAGAGAGAGAGAGAGAGAGAGAGCTGCCATCAATTGGCTTACCTGCCCCTTTGTTTTCTTTGCAGCTCTTGAGAAAGTCTATTTTACAAAGAGGAAAACCTGTGGTTGAAGGATCTTTGGAAAAGAAACCGCCATTTGAAAAACCTAGTATCGAACAGGTAAAAACTTGCTTTAAAGCCGAGCAAACCCAGTCCCCTGCCCCTCCACATCTCTCTCTCCGTTTCCCTCCCACACACCTTATTCAGCCTACAGATAGTCATCAGTCTGTGGGAATTGTGGCTCTTTGGATCAGGCTTGAATGGCCAGTTTCCATGATCTGGCATTTGGCTTTTAGGGTCACGGAACACTTGGAAGGAACTGTGGTGGAATAGTGGCAATGTGCTGGGTTGCGATCCACAAGGTCAGCTGTTCAAAACCACCAGTCACGCCTTGGGAGAAAGACGGGGCTTTCTACTCCTGTAAGGAGTTACAGTCTCAGAAAAACACAGGGGCCCTTTGACCCTGTCCTACAACGCTCGCTCTGAGTCAGCATTGACTCGATGGCAGTGAGTTTGATGACACTCGGAGTATACTGTGCATTTGGGGAAGAAAAAAAATGAGGGCATTCATGTAGTTGGTAGGAACATAAGAAATGTGGGTTTGTGTGTGTGTGTGTGTGTCTGCTATTATGTGAAAATTAAGTGTTTGCTTTTGGTGGGCACCCTCTGCAAAAGCCTATTGAGGTGAGGGAAATGATCAGCGGTGTGAGCAAAATTGTAAGTGAAGCAATGAAACTGTAGTAAAAACACCCAAATGCCCTCTGCCCCTCAAAGAAGCTTTTTACCCAGAAACTGACAGCAGCCGCATTATAATTCCTGGAAAGAAGTCATTTGACTCAAAGAAGTCGAAACTATATAGACTTCTTCGGCTGGGTGTTGTCAGATGCACTCATCAGAATCTAGCCTGCCCTTGTCGGGTTAGAGGGAACTCAGTCTTTCCTGACTGAGAATGACTTCTAGAGATGTAATTATGGATGCCGTTTCAATGATCGTTGTATTTTTCTCAGCCAGTTTCCAGGGACTGAGCCTGGTTAACACGTATCCATTGTTCTTCATGCGGAAACTCCATGTGTTGTGAGTCTTCTGCAGAAAGATTGCGTTAATCCTTGGCTTTATTTAAAAGCACATGATGTTAAGTAAAAGCAATTTTTAAAACTTGGTTTATTTAAAAATTCAGAATGTGTTGACACATTTGAACAACATGCCAAAGTGGGAAGAGTAACAGTAAAGGGTTACTGTAAATTCTCGTAACTTAGTTTTCTAGAATCCATGCTGGCAGCCTTTTGATGGAAAATCTGGGTAATGTGAAAACCTAGAGTTGTGTAAGCCCTCAATAAAATGATTAAAGAGAAAAAAGAAAATATAATATTTGTCCCCAAACTGCCTTCTGTGTGAGCTACTATGCTGAAAGCGTGGCAGGCCTTATTGGGCCCAAGTCAATTTTCTTGTTGAAGGGCGTTTGACCTTTTCAGAACGTGGCTCTGATTTCCTCTTGACTGCTCCAGGCTTGCAGTAGGCTGAGCATCTTGCCTCCCAGCCTCTCTGCCTTGTCACTTCTCATTCACTATGATTGGGGGCAAGAGTCTCCCTGGGGACTGCTGTTTTCTATTAGGGAAAAGGACAAGTTTTTTGTGAATATCTGTCCTTCTGCTAAATAGTGATCGCGCTGATTGCGTGGGTGTGAGTGCATGCCTTTGTACATATATGGCCTTCCCTCTTTTTAAGGGCGTGAATAACTTTGTGCAGTATAAATTTAGTCACCTCCCATCAAAAGAAAGGCAAACTATAGTGGAGCTGGCAAAAATGTTCCTGAACCGCATCAACTATTGGCATCTGGAGGCACCATCTCAACGCAGACTTCGATCTCCTAATGAAGACATCTCTGGCTACAAAGAGAACTACACCAGGTAATCAGGCCTTTGGCTCTGTAGCACGTGGCACAGACATAAGATTGCCGCCTGCCTCTGCAAGCAGAGGGCTGCCCTGTGATCTTGCTGGCGCTGTCTTTTCAGAAAGGATTGCTTGTGTAATTGACCTGCTGAAGCCCTGCTTCTCTTGAGCAGAATCTCTTTCCTGGGGAGGCATTCAGACAATGCACACCTCTGTCTCTTGGATGCTAGGGATGCGCCGTAGGCGACTGTTAGACCCCTGAACCGTGGGTAGGGCCAACTGAGAGCTCTAAGACTAGGCACAACAGCAGAAGAATATCGAACACCTCTCTAGTTTTTCATGTTGAGCACATGTGGAAAATGTTCGTCTCTTAGGTGTCTTGGATTAAATTAAATGCATTAGAATAATTTCACCTGTTTCCTTTTGATTTTTTTAACGTGTCTCCTCAAGCAATTTTAAATCTCTAGGTGGCTTGAATTTCTTTTTATTAAAATCATATTTCTAATCACCAGATTATACTGTAGCCCTGTAATTAATATGCATGGAGATCCCACTCAAAAAAAGGCCATGGCCATTATTATAATGGCATCAAAGAGTTTTTTTTAAAGAAGGAAAGATTGCTCTAACCCCCAGCTCCTTAATAGAGCTGATATGTTCTGCATCTTATCTTTTAGTCGTCCCCCACTTAAATAGATGCTTATATTATTACAGCCAGAAAATACAGGCTTTCATATCTTTTTTGTCTTCTCATTTCATTTCATCGAGTTAATATGCCACAATTCACCTAGTCATTTTCCTATTGGTAGAAACTTAAACTTTACAGATTTTTTTTTTAATAAACAAATTTTTTTTCCCTACGGTGGGAATTTTTTTTACTGCTGCTGAACCTAAGATAATAGAATAAGCTTTAAAAATCTTAAGCATGGGCCATAAAAAATATAATGATCTATATCTATTTTCACATGGTATGAGAGTGGCTTGGATCGTCCATTCGCTGGCTTTTTTATAACTTTTTCCCAGTTACACTTTCTGGGCACATCAAGCTTGCTTCCAAGGGCATTATGAAACTTCAGTATTGCTTTTTTAATCAAGGCAATGGCTTTGATAACTAACGATCTCTTCTACTCGATCCTTTCCTCTTAACAACAAATGCCCTGTCCGAATGGGGATAATTTAAGGTAAGCTTTCCTTTCAGGTCCTTTCAAATGACCTCATTCCCTAAGGAATACTGCCCAGCCCCCGCCCCCACCCCTTCCTTGTACAACAGGCACAATTGAAATTATGATGAATTTCACCTTTAAAAAGTTAAAGGTAAGAATTTTAAAAGATTGAGAATTACCGATTTCCTTATATTCAGAATTTTTAAAACGATATCTTGATTTTAGTAGGTTTCAATGTTAGGGTTTGGCGCAAACAATAGCCATGTGTGGTTGCCCTTCTTCCAACAGCATTTGTCGTGTAATCCTGATGTGAAAGCCCAAGGGAGCCCCGTGGGTTGTTGGTGGGAGAAGCGCTGGCCCACCAGCCCCTGGGAGGGAGGGAGAGGAGGCTCTCTGCGCCTGCAGGGATCCACAAGGCCTTGGCAACCCCATGGGGGGCTTGCCACACTCGAATTGGAATTGGAGTGGCCTCTCTGGCCATGGCCGTGGGTGGGCACAGAATTGAGAGAGCTGAATTTACCGGTCACTGCCAACCCCCTGGAAGTATTGGCCCCTCAGAGCCGAGAAACGGTTTTATTTCTAAAAAGGAGAACTTAGTATAGAGGAGCATGGGCAACATTGCTCTGTTTTAGAAAAAAAAAAGGAATGATTGAGTCTGTGCAGCGGGCACGATTTACCGAGAAATGGGTGACGGTTGTAAAATCTCAGAAGAGGAACTAACCGTGGCATGAGTGCAGGGTTTGAGTTCTGAATCCATTCCTCCTTCGCTCTGTGAATTTCAGGCAAGCCGGCTCACCTCCCCGGCCCTGGGCTTCCTCTCTGTGAGTACTCCCTCTGCCGCCGGGGTTTGTGCCTCGTGTCTGGCACAGAGGACAGGTACTCAGAAGATGCTAGTTGTGGTCTTCCTCCCACACTGACACTCCGTCACGTGACATTGCTAAACGCTTGTTCACTGAGACTGTCATGTGAGATTGTTAAATGGTTAAACTGATGCTTTCCATGGACGATTGAAAAATAATGTAATTATTGGAATATCACTCTAGAAACTAAAATCACAGGGATAGAAGTAGAGCAGTCCCCTGAGCCCGCTGCTGAAGGTGGAGGCGTGGAAGCAGACAGGGGCCAGGGGAGCCCGCGGAGAGAAGCTGCTAATGTGGAGGTGGAATGTAGACCAAGAGGCCTCTGTTGATAGTAGATAAGGAAATGAAGGCAGACAACAACGCCCTCTCCAAGGCCCTGTCATGAAGAGAGGGACGTAGAAGTCCAAAACCTGTGCAAATGATGAGACTCAGTATTTGTTTCAGAGCAAAAACACATTGCCCTGACCACGTTTGGGAAGTAAAAGCCCACACACCACCACAACCTGGCGGTTCACTGATAGTGATCTTTAGGAGAAGAAAAAAGGTATTATTACAGGCTGCAAGCACCACCGGGCTTTATCTTGATGTGTAAGTGAACCTCAGGGCCTGTCATGCTGGTTCAGCATATAATGTACAGTTAGCAATTAGAACAAGGGCGCCAAAGCTTCAGGAAGCACAGGGTCAGCATGGAGAAGGGATGTGGTCTCGGGACTCTGTGGTGTTTCTCCTAGCGTTAACCTCGGATGGCAGAACCAATACAAACAAAAATCCGTTGACCAGTAGAACTGTGGAAACTCCCTTCTGTGCCCTGAATAATGTTAAAAATAGTCAACATTTTTACATGTTTGAAATACACACTAATATGAACATATCCTTGATATTAATAATGAATGGGGAAAAATAATAAATGGGAGCACATTTTAAAAATGAACTTTCTATCTACCCCTGGAGTTTTAGAGGGGGAAAATATCTCTGATATTTCTTGAATTTCAGGACAGTGTACTCATATAACTCCATCAAGAAATCACCTGAAAATAAATGTCAGGGGACTATGCTTTCTTAAAATACATCTGATCAGCAGAACCCATAGAAGAAAATTGGCAAATCATTAGCCCTAGATTTTGAGTAGTGCAGAACTGAAAGTTCAAGGTCACCCCCACACCGAGGAGAGATTTCATAAGAACAGGGCAAGTCAGGTAGCGCTAGTTTAATTTTGGAAGCAGTTTCATGTCCGTGGTGCTCTATGAAGTCGAGCACTACTTGATGAGTACAGAGCACTCCGAAGTAGTCGTGCCAGCTCAGGGCACCGTGTCAGCAAGCCTGGAAAGGACAGTGGATCAGGAGACGTGACATCGAGCTTCCGGTTGGGACTCCAGTAGCAACTAACCCTCAGTCCGTTACCATTGAGTCCGCCCCAGCTTATGGCCCCCTCCATGCTGTCTGCAAACGGGACTGTGCTCCACGAGGTTTTCAGTGGCTGATGTGTCACCAGTAGATTGCCAGCTTTTTCTTCTGAGGCACCTTAGGCTGGGCTTGATCCGCCAACCTTTTCATTAGCCATGAAGAGCACGTTAACAATTTGCCCGTTCAATGGCCCATTCAACTGTGCTCATTCAATTCCTGCAAACCTCAGGATTTTCAGTCTAGCCCGCCAATAAAGGGCCTTATGTTTTCCAAGTTTCCAATGCTGTTGACCGATCGGAGAAAACCAAACCAAACTCACTGCCATCCAGCCGATGCTGACTCTTAGCGACCCTGTAGGGCAGGGTAGAACTGCCCCTGTGAGCTTCCGAGACTGTTACCTATTGACAGGAGTAGAAAGCCTCATCTTACTCCTGAGAAGTGACCTTGCAGTTGACAGCTCAACTTGGGATTGGGGTTGGAGGTCATTCAGGGTTCCCGAGACAGAAAGGAGGACATGAGCATGTGAGCGCATCATCTCCCCACGTAGATCCCATCAACTTAACTGCAGGCAGAGATTTTTACATGACTGGTCTCCAGTCTTCTGTAAATATGTAAAACGGTAATGTGCTCATTTTCTTCTCGCCAATTAGAGGTGGCATTTGTAAGCTGTTTAAAAGCTCCAACCAGATTTGTTGCTATTGAGTCAATTCACAGTCATTATGACTCTTCTACAGGATAGACAGTGGTCTTTCTGCCACGCTACATGCAGGGACCATGCTCTTTTAGTAAGACAGCTTCTAAAAGACCCACAATGATTCAGTCTCCTACGTTTCTCTTCTGTGCCTTCACAGATGTATAAAGCAAGATGAATCATGAATGTCCAAACAAAACTGAAAGGCATACTTGAACCCTAGAAAATGACTCTCAGGAAATGAATGGAAACCTATTCTTTCTAAAAGTTTACTAGATATTAGCAGCCTGTGCTATCTTTCAGTCCCGTGTGAAGGTTGAAGTGACCGACTAAGTACTGTTGGGGGTAACATTTTGCGATTGTCTCATGATCCTATTTAGTATGCTATTATCTCTGTAGAAGAAGTTCCAGCAGGCTTAAACCCAGCCTTACATGTCTGCAGTCCCTCCCTGCACACACGGACGTGCCCTTTCAACTTGAAATCACTGCCACCGAATAGAAATATAATGTGAACCACAAACAGGAGCCACGTGTGTAATTTAAAAATTTCTGGGAAGCAACATTAAGCCTGAAACCGAAAGGGGAAATTCATTTAATAATATGCTTTATTTAGCCCAGAGTACAGAAAGTTGCTGCTGTTGTTCTAAGTCTGCCAAGACCATTGCGTATGTTGTGCCCTCAGCACAGCTCAATGCAGACACTAAACTTTAAATGGTTAAAAAGAGTGAAGTGGAGTCGAACTTGTTGTCATTGCGTCTATTCCAAATAATAGTAACCCTGTCGGACGGAGTAGAACTACCCGATAGGGTTTCCAAGGAAGAGAGTAGTGTTTTCATAGAATTCCATCCCCTCAGTTCCATTGGCTGCACGAACACCTACAGCAGATGCCCCGCACAGTCGTTGACCTCCCGGGTCTCAAGCCAACCTCGGAGTTCTCTTTGGGCCTGCCTGGAGGCTTCTCCAGCTTCAAGCAGTGGTGAAGCACGCTTTTGATTCTGAGTCTGAGTCATTGACAGTGCACCGAAGGGTCGATGGTGGAAGTGTATTACTTCCTGCATTTTGACAGAGTATTAAGCTGTCTTGAAGGTTTTGATCTTCCTACCAAAGCTTCGGAAATACCTGAGTGCTGTGTTGGTATTTTAAAGAAACCCTAAGTCATTTCACTTCTCGGACTAGGTGGTGTGGTTCTGATCTTTTCATGAAAGGTACTTCTGCAGCCCTCCTTGTAACCTCGCCTTTTATTTAAACCATTATATTGAGTATTTCCTGTGTGCCAAGAACTCTGCGTACACTATGCTCACGGAAAACCACCGAAATAGTTGTTTATGTTGTTTCTGTTTGACAGGAAGGAAATAGAGACTTAAGAACATGATTAAGTTTCCAAGGCATGCATCCAGTTAAGCAGCACAGTCAGGATTTGAACCTAGGGCTGTCTGACTCCAGAACTCGTTGCAGAACCCTGCAGAGTTGGGATTTTGAGTAATTTCCAGGTTTCATTAACCGGTCATTGCAGACCTAGATTATCCTGCCTGGTAGTGGTCTGAGCATCAGTCGAATGGGCTATTTCAGATGGCTCTGGCGCTTTGGTGGGTTATTGATGGTGTTTGTCTCATCTCGTTGCAGGTGGCTGTGTTATTGCAATGTGCCACAGTTCTGTGATAGTCTACCTCGGTACGAAACCACACAGGTGTTTGGGAGAACCTTGCTTCGCTCAGTCTTCACCCTTATGAGGCGGCAGCTCCTGGAACAAGCAAGACAGGACAAAGACAAGCTGCCTCTTGAGAAACGAACGCTAATCCTCACCCATTTCCCAAAGTAAGAGAGAGCATTGGCTAGTCTTCTTTGGTCTCAGGGTTGATATCATGAAGAACAGGGTTAGAGATGAGATGAAAGGAAAGGGCCCTCTTCCTCCCTGGCTCCACGCATGAGTTTTCTAACGTGTTGTTTCTTTCATCTGGTCGCTTGATTGACTAACGATCACACCCTTTAACCACCAGCACACCATGTCCCATGCCACCGAGGTTATCCGTAGTCTCTGAGTCTAATAGAATGCAGACAGTGTTCGGTTTTGTATATTTAGTGGCCAGGAAGCTGGAAGGGGTTGGGGAGAATATGTACAGAAGTTGTTTCCATCCACTGGGGCCCAGGGAAGTAGAGGGTCCCCCAAAGAGGAAGACTCAATGAAAGATGGACACAGCAGCTGCAGCAATGAGCTCAAGCATAGGGACAATGGTGAGGGTGGGGCAGGACAGGGCAGTGCTGCATTCTGTTGTGCGCTGGGTTGCTACCAGTCCGAACCAACAGCATGGCACCTAACAGCAAGTGGACCTGGGACATGGGGAAAGAGAACCTAAGCAACTGGTTTGTCTTAATCGCAGTGTTTCAATCCTTTCTAAGCACTAAGCTTTCACAGGCTAGATCTCTTGGTGTGCAAATCAAACACCCCCCCTCCCCCCAAGAGCAGGTATGGACGGCAGCAGAGCCCTCTTTGAGAATGGCCCCAGTGACCACTCAACCGAGTAGGTTGCCTATGTATTCCTTAAAAAATACACATTTTCCTTTTGCCCATTGCTTCTTGCTCCTGCCAAAGCTCAACCCCCTCAATAATCATTGAAATGTTTTTCAAATGAAGGTAGGAAATGTGTCAAAGGGGTAGGAAGCAACTTCATGCCCCACTGGTCTTGGGGGTGCATTTCAATGTTGAGACCCAGAGCTAAAAGCTGAGAGACTGGCTGGCAGCTGAGGGCTGGGTGCAGTGCCGTTACAGCTGGTCACTTGCCACCGAGCAAGGACAGTGAGGCACGAGGCCGTTCATTGGTAAGGTGTTACACTGCCCACATCAGCATTTGGGGGGAGAAGGTCGAAACTATAATTTGAAAGATGTCTAAGTAAAATCTGGTTTCTTTGGTCAACGATGGAGAACATCTTGTTTTATGGGTCAAAGTAGGATTTTTCTTTAAATACAAACACACACACACACACACACACAGAGTTACTGGATTATCAAACTGGTCTTGCCTTGTGCCTCACAAAGGCAAGTTTTTTTTTTTTTTTTGTTCACTTTTAGCGAAGCTTTCTGGCTTGTGGATTCATCTTTTCTTTCTTTCTTTCTTTTTTTTTTTTTTTTTTTTTTTTATTTTACAGATGAGTTAAGTCTACATTAACTACACACACACACACAAACTGCACACATTCGCAGGTTTCCTGATAGAAACTGACTGAACATTTGTATGTCATTTAATACAAACTTTAATCCTGAGCTAGAGGATTTCACTGCACTTCTGAGGGCCTGCAGCCGCATATTCAGTATCTGCACATACATGTGTCTCCATTAGTTCGGATTTTCAATATTTTCTTAAAGGGCAGTAGCTCACGAGTCTGAGGCATGACATGACATTTTGGTAATTTCTGTGGTGAAAGAATCAGAAGCCCTTAAACTATGGCCTCTGGTGGGGTATGAATTCCAGGCATACGCACATATGTCAGCAACTGCCTCTCCGTGTGCGAAGCTCTGTTTTCTAACTTGTTTCTCTGTTACATTTGCCACATGAGCAGCATTTCATGTTTTCAGAGGTGGTGATCACTCAGTGTCTAAGCCCAGGGACAGAGAGGACCCTTCCCCCCACCCTTTATGGTGCTTCGAGAGAAATTTTAATGATCTTGCAAAGTAACAGTTTTTTTTTCCCCTCAACAAATTCATTTTGCTTCTTGCAGATATTTGCTAATTATAGTGTGTTTTGTTCCTTCAACCCATAGTTCTGGCATGCTTATGCAGTTGAGCTAAAACTCATTGCTGCTTTCTTTCTTCTCTATTACTAATAGTAGGGTAAAACTACCACCCACTCTCCTTTTAAATCCCTTTTCCTTGAATATGACAACATATGAGACTGCTGGGGATTTATACCGAAACATTTGACAGCAGAATTACCAATGATGAAGTTGGAGGTGCTTGTAGAATCGTGGGCACTCTCTTCAAGTCAGAGCTGGATCAGAACCCCGCTGTCTGTTATATTCAGATGTCTTTTCTGGACTCACATTCTTGCTGCCCTATTCTAGATAGATAGATGGTTAGATAGACTCCTATCTGTTCTCGATAGATGGCACTGTCTCCCACTTGGCTTTGACTTGTACCTCACCCCTTGGCCTATTTACAATCATTTTAACAAGTTTAATATCTTGGTTTCCTTCTAAAAGTGATGTGCAGATGTTGAAGAAAATTTGGTTAAGGAAAACCCCCAGAAAATAAAGAATCAAACATAGTCAAAACCATTCAGAATTACTGTTAGTGTTTTTAGGTATTTCTGATTTCCCCCCTCTCTATCTTGTGTTTTTTTAGTCTATGTCCAATTTTGCATCCAGTGTATATAAAACAAGCAATTTCCCAAGTTGTTATATGAAACTGTTCTTTATTAGTAGTGTGTTTACCTGTGTGCATATACTCACACTTTTATTTTTTCTGAATCATGAATAGCATTCTTCTTTGATGAGTGTTTTCAGAATTTTGTGAAGAGTATATTGATTATAGAATTACTTAAAAAAAAAAAAAAAAGCAACCAAGAGCAAGAAAGGAAACGTATTTCCCTGACAAAGGGCATGGGGCCAATCTTTGGTACGGTAGGAGGGGAGGTTAGGGGAAGTAGCAAGACATCAAGTTCTCCATCTATCATCAACAAGATCTGGATGTGATCTTAACATACAGAGATTTTTGCCTTCTACATGAGCCCTGGTGGCAGAGTGGTTATACATTGGGCAGCGAGCAGCATGAGCCGATGGTTTAAAACCACCAACAGCTCCACAGGAGAAAGACTGGGCTTTCTACTCCTGTAAACAGTTAGTCTCAGAAACCTACAGCAGGTCAAGTCAGCATCGCCTCAAGGGCCAAGAGAGAAGGAGAAAGAGAGAGAGAGAGAGAGAGAGAGGAAGAGGAGGGGAGAGGAGAGAGATTAATTGCTGTCAGACTTCAGGTAGAAGCATCCTATACAGTGTTTTTAAACATGAGTAACAGGAACAAGTCATTCCTATAGTTCTTATAAACCGTGAATGATACCGTAAAATAAATAGCTATTCACTCAAATGCTGTTTCGCTTTTAAAGTTTCCGGCTTTGAGCAACATGGCAGCACAGCCACCTCTCCACACTGACGCCCACTCTTCCCCACCCTTTCCCATTAATTGTCACTTCTTAAAACTCCCTCTCTCCCTCCACTGACGCCTCCAAAACATTCATCACCTAAAGGAGAAGACTGGTCGGAATTTTACTGATAGTGAGTGGCAATGGGGATGGGGATGATTGTAATGCAGCTTCTCTCCTAATCATCTCCAGCCTTGGTGCCAAGTATGTTTCACAAGCCAATTTTTCAAAGTGTTATAAAGGTAATATACCACATGTACTATATTAGTGAAGGGTTGGGACATTCCCCATAATTGACTCCAATAATAAATACAATGAGTATAGCTAGGATGATATCCATTCAGGTTATATTTTATTGTCCAAAGGGCTGAAGAAAAACCTTCATTTCTAAGGGCTTTTGATTTTCAGAATTGTGGTGAAGGAAGCACCAACTCCCTCATCCGTGGGAGGTCAGCTCTTTAAGGGCAAAGCATTGTGTTATTCATCCTGCCCTTCTTCGGGGTGAGCCCCATTCTGAGCATGCTCATTTGCTTGTTTCATCTGCTTTATTGCTCCATGTGGGAATTACTGTAAGGGGCTTCGCATTCGTTGTTAATTCTGTTTTCCCACGAACCTTTTTTAGCCCTCTTGTGTTTCCATGTTACGGAAGAGGAAATTGAGGCCACACCATCATAGTCAGTGGTGTTAGACACCCGACTGCAGCAGACTCCATGGTAGTGAGATTGGTTTGGTGGGAGAGAGCGAGTTGGCTCCCTCAGTGGTGCAAATGGTGAATGCGCTTTGCTGCTAGCCAAAAGGCTAGAGGTTGGCAGCCACTCGGGTGCTCTTCAGAAGACAGACCTGGTGATCTCCTTGGCGATAAGAGTCATCAGAAAGCCCTAGGGAGCATGCTTTTATTCTGACACACACAAGGGTGCCAGCGTTGTTAGGCTTTTGTTCTGATTTAGAAAGAAACTTAATGGAAATGTTGTTAGTACCAGAAGAGTCCATGTGTTGGTACTTTAGTGTAGCTTTTCAACTGTGGTGTACATAAGAATTATCTGGGGCATTTGCCAAAATGTGGTTATCTAACCTGTCACACAGACGGATTCAGTAAGTCTGTCTATTTTAAAGAAGATGTCCTTCATGTGATTTCTATAGGTTCTTAAAAGTTGATGTCCATTTGGTCCATCAGCGTCTGATTACATATGTAGCGCATTTCTTTTTTTTTTTTTAAACATTTTATTAGGGGCTCATACAACTGTTATCGCAATCCATACACACATCAATTGTGTAAAGCGCATTTGTACATCATTCTCAAAACATTTTCTCTCCACTTAAACCCCCGACATTAGGTTCTCATTTTTCCCCTCCTTCCCCCCTCCCCCCTCCCTCATGAGCCCTTGATAGTTTATAAACTGGTATTTTGTCATATCTTGCCCTGTCCGACGTCTCCCTTCACCCACCTTTCGGTTGTCTGTCCCCCAGGGAGGAGGTCACATATAGTTCCTTGCAATCGGTTCCCTCCTTCCTTTCTTAGTCACATGGTTCCACTCCTGACCTTGCTGCTTACTGTTGTGTGACTTTGAACTAGTTCTTTAGGGTCTCTGTGTCTTAGATTGTGTGTGTGTGTGTGTGTGTGTGTGTGTGTGTCATGTAGGAAGAGCTATCCCTGTGTGATTAACAGAATAATGAAATCTTTAACTGACAAGGATGATGTGAGGATGAGACAAGTCTTTGGCACAATGCAGGCACATAGCGGGCCCTGGATGAATGTGGTGCTGCAGATGACAGTTTCAATGACAGCCACCCAGGGCCTCGCTACAGAGCACTGGGACACTCTCTCTGACACACCGTGTCCGTCTTGCCCACACTGTAAAGTTGTGCAGGAGCTGAGAGGTTGCATTTGTAGAAATTCACTTCTGCAGTTGAACATACCAGGGCTGTACAACGGATTCATCATAAACCGGCAGTCTGCTTTCTCAGGAAAGGGAAGATGCTGATGTTAAGACAATTTCAGAATGTGCTTAGGGCTGTTGTCCTAGTAATAAATTCTTTTTGGGGCACTAACCATTTGTTTATCCTTGTTTATAGGTTTCTGTCTATGTTAGAAGAAGAAGTTTATAGTCAGAACTCTCCCATCTGGGATCAGGATTTTCTCTCCAGCTCCTCCAGAACCAGCCAGCTCGGAAGCCAGACAGGTAAATGTCTTGTAGCAGAAATGCAAGACCGACCTGGCGTGTGAGCTGAAGCCCACCCTGCATCTGTTGGTGCTTTGTATCGGGAATTTGAAGAAGAGCCAGCAAAAAAACAACAACAACAAAACAGAACAAAAAACCAAGCATTTTGGCAAATCTTGTATCTGCATCCCTATTAAGGAGAAGAGAACAGGTGCAAAGCAGAATCTTGCAACGGTTTCTCTATTAATGAGGCATGCAGGTGCAAGACAAACCGTTAAAAAACAACAACAAAAAAAAGTGACACGAGTTTGCTTACCTTGCTGTTTGCATTTCTTGAGGAGAGGCATAAAATACTAGCAGCCTCGCTTCGTTGTCAAATCCTGACTCTTTTCTAAAGTACCCAAAGCCTCAGTGAGAAGCTAATATGTCCAGAAATTTGACTCTGTGTGCCTTAATCTTGATGTTTTGAACATTCAAGCTATTGTCAAGGATGTGGGTGGAATGGTGAGTGGATGATGAGTCCCCAGTGTCAGGGCAGGAAGGTAGTTCCAGGTGGCACCAGGGCATCTGTGCTAGTCCAGGTAGACTAGAGAAACAAATCCAGGGAGACTGATTCTGTGTATAGAAAGAGCTTCACATACAAGAGCAATTGAATATCGAGAAAATATCCCAGCCCAGTCCAGATCAAGTCCGTCAATCCAATATTAGCTCATATGTCCAATACCAATCTATAAATTCCTCTTCAGACTCACACAACACATGCAGTAACGCCATATGCAGCAAGATCACAGGCCAGTGGGTACAAAGTCTTGTGGATCTAGTAACAGTGGAAGCATCTCAGCTCTGGCGTGGGTCTCCATGGGGCTCCTTCAGCTCCAGGGCTCTAGCGTAGCTCCATGTGTCTCGTCTGCAGAAATGTTTCCCAGAGAGTGTCTTATTTCCCACCTCCAGTGAGCTATTTATCTCTTTAGTGCCTCCAAATGAGGCCATCAAGTAGAGACCCGATTGACAGGCTAAACTCCACCCCTTCACTCTTAAGTCTCAAATTGACAACAGATTATGTAACTACCACAGCATGTTTCCATTTGTCTGGAGTCAGCCAGTGGCACCGGTTGCCATTTGGTGAGAAAGGAAGATGCCCTCAGAGTGCCAGGCTGCACAGAATCTCCGTCCCCGCCTTTGACAGAACAATCAGTGGAAGGGATCGGCAAGAAATATCAAAGCTGCCATTTATATATGGCCGTGGGGAATGACAGAATCTCGTGTTTTGATCGATGAGCTGTTGTTTAATGTGTTTTATGTGCTTTAGACAGTGTGCACCATGGAGCACCTAAGTACCATCATTAGGAAACATAGATTTAATTTTTACTTAAAACAATTAGATGACATGTACATATAGTAAAATTGTTCCTTATTGTATGGGTCTGTGGATTTTGACAAAGTCATACGGTGGTAACCACCACCATGAGGTACAGAACAATTGTTCTGCTGCAGAAAATTGTCCTGTATCCCTTTACAGCCCATCCTTTGCCCGACCCCTAGCCTCGGACAATCAGCGACCTGCTGTTTAATGCTGATAGCTTTGCCTTTCCAGAATGCCATAGGAGTGTACTCAGGTAGGGTATGGCTTATTGAATTAAAACAAAACAAACAAACCCTCACCTCTTAGCATATCGCATTTGAGAAGGTGAGTTTTAAAAACCCTTTTTATCTAGAAGCCATGTTCGGGGAAAATAGCTATCATATACCTATAAAGCAGAAGTATTTTGGTTGGGATTGAGTCCCTTTTGCGCTAACTCTTGTTCCTCAAACATGCCAACATATCTTCCGGTGTCCTCCCTCCGTCCTTCTCGTTCTCTGCTCCAGACCGGCAGTGTTGCCAGGCCTTCCTGAGCATATTGCCTGCTCTCCGCTGACCTGAGCGGTCAGCCCTCGCTGCCCACATTCTCCGCAGTCTCCGGACGTTTCCTCTGCAGTGTCTGCAGTGCCCTCTCGCTGCTCACGTCACCAACTCTCTCTGTCTCTCTCCTAACCTAGATTTCCAGAGGCAGCTCTCTCGGGGAGTCTTTCCTAGTCCCCCACCCCCATGCCTGCTAGCAAGGAAAGGCTCTTGTTTCTTCCAAACTTTCTCCGAGCCTTGGACATATCATATCATTGGTTCTCAGACTCGGCTGCACAATCGAATCACCTGGAGAGATTTAAAATACATTGGGTTTAGGATCCTGTTTCAAGGGAGTATGATGTGATTGTTCTGGAGCAAGGCCCGGACACCACTGCTTCTGAAAGCTCCACGGGCGACGCTAATGCGAAGCAATGTTTGAGAACGACTGTCTCTTACGGGACTCACCTCACGTTGCCCTCGACCCCATTTCTCCCCCTGTACATTGTCTTTCTTTTAGGAGTGCAACTCCTGGACATCAGAGATCCCATTTTGTCACCGTGATAATAATAATGGCTGCTTTTAGTCAGCATGTCAGGGGTGGAATTGGGTTGCATTTCCAGGTCTTTGTGAGCTCCCAGCCATTTCACTGTGCTCAGTGTCCGGCCTCCAGCCACTGTGTCACACTGCCTTGGTGTGTGTGGCAAGTGTGCAGCCAATGCTTTTGCAGGGATTGGGCCAAGAGCACAGAGTCCTCCTTCCGGAAGTGCAATACCAGAGGGAGTTAGCGGGTCCGCTTTGTTTCCCTTTGGGAGGGTTCTGGAGAGTCGGCTCTGTGTGTGAGAATTGACAGTGACTCTTCGCTGTTTTCCCACCTTGCCCAGCTCCTGGCCATGTCGTTAGCTGTCCCAGAACAGGATGGAGAAGACAGGTTATCTGTGAACCTTGGGGGAGTTCATGGTCCCTTCTGCAGGGAAGGCTGTCAGTCAGTTAAGCATGGCAGAGGTACTTCAGTATTACCTGACGCCATCAGGGGCCGGCAGTTGTCTGCACTACAGTAATTGTGATGCTTTCTCTTGGGGGGAGAAGAAGAGTGTAATCATCTCTTTAATTGGCATGTCTGCACATCTTTGCAGCTGTGATAAATGGTGCTCATAATCATGGGCCTGGAACCTTGCAGGATACTTTAATGCCTTCTGAATCACCGGAGTTCAGAAACACTCCCGTGTACTTTGAAATTCAAAAGGCTTGTCTGTTGGAAAGAAAGCTCCGTAGCCCCTTGATTCTTTACAGACCACACTGCTATTCAGGGCAGAACTGTGTCAGCACTGAAATCGAGAGAAGCTTTTTTCTTCTCTGGGTATCTGTCCTTACCGCCATACTGTGTGTGACTACTGTCCCTGAGGAAGCCTGAACCCATCACGATCTCTCCTTTCTTCAGCTACTGGCAACTAGCAACACAGTGTTCTGCCCCCAACAATGCTCCAACCAGCAGACACTTTTATTTGGAAACACAGAAGTTGCAAGAAATCCAATATGCTCTATACTATACACCCCTTTTCCAAATTCACGTATTGCTAATATTTTGCCTTTTTTTCATTCTATCCCTCTCTTTTCCCTTTTCGTCACTGTGTACACACACACACACACACACACACACACAGTTGTCTTGGGTACTATCAAGTTGGTTCTGGCTCACAGCAACCCTGGGCACAACAAAAGGGATCATTGCCCAGTCCTGTGCCAACTTCACCACTGTTGTTAGGCTTGAGCCCATTGTTACAGCCACCGTGTCAATCTATTAAGGGGCAAAGCGTTTACAACCTACTTACATCAGACGCCGGTATGTCCTCACGGGGTATCTCCTAAGGAAAAAAGCCACCGTCATGTCTTCTAATACATAGCAACCGTGTAGCTATCAAACTCAGGAAATGTAACATGGATACTAGACAGCATTCGACTCTGTGGGGTTTCTTTCATTTTTGCCTCTTGCCTGCCATTATTTCATCATCATTGGTATGAAATTAATCACTCGGCTAAATGGGTGGCAGATTTCTCCAATATCATGTTGCCGTTTTTCCCTTCGGCAGTCCAAAGGTACTTACGTGGAGAAGTAACTCGAAGCGAGGTCAATAGGCTGTCGCTCATTAAAATTATACTCAAGGAGTAGCCTGTCCTAATGACTCTGGCCCACATCAAGTATGTTTGATGTTTATTAATGGTAAATTTTCTAACCTGTAAAGAAGAGCATTTTCATCTCCCTGCTTATGTATTTAGTCACTTATTGTTGAATCGGGACTGGATCTATTTCTTCCCTTAGTGTTTTTATTACCTTGACGATCCCACTGGCCCCTGGGCTTTCGTCCACAGCCGTCTTCTCTTTGATTGGTGGCCGGATCGTCTACTATGGAGTTGGTCCCTGGTTATTCAGAAAGAACCATCTAATCCTTTTTCTTTTCTTGGGACAGTTATCAATCCGCCTCCCGTGGCTGGGACAGTTTCCTACAATCCCAACCCGTCTTCCCTGGAGCAGTTGCAGGGAGGGAGCACCAGTCCTGCCTGCAAAACGTCTTCTGAACTTGAAGTTAACCCAGGTGAGCTCTTGGCGGGAACAGGAGAGGGTTGCGGACTTGGCCTAGGAGCTCTATTATCCCGGGAGCATCAAAGCTAGACTTCAACTAATTACAGATGGTAAGAGTCTAGGATTTTAATGGCTGCCAATTGCTTTGTGGTAAGATTTGGGTTGTGTGGATCAGCTAGTAGTGTATAACAAAGCAACCCAAAGCAGAGTCCTAACACAGTCATCATTGACTACCAGCGCTCATACACTCTGCAAGTTGTTTGGTAGTTGGTGGCCTCGCTGGCTTTTGGCTGGGTTGGTGTCTGCCCGGTTCTAGGACTCTGTTCTGGACTAGGTGAGAGGACTTAAGCTGGAATAATTCTGCTCTGCGTATTTGTCCTCTTCCTCCTGTGACCACGGGTCTTCTCAGACGGGGCTCTCGTGGCCCTGGCAGAAACAGAAGAGCACACGCAGATACACACAAGTTCCTTGGCGGCCTGGGCGTGGAACTGCTGGACCCCCACTTGTACTTCATTAGGTTGTCCAAAGCAAGTCACATGGTGGAACAGATCTAAGCGGTGGGAAACATGACTCCTTTTGTCACACTTGGTCAAGAAGGTCAGCAAAAGGGAGAAAGCCCCTCGGTGAGATGTATTCACGCAGTGGTTTAACAATGGGCTTCAATCGAACGCTAGTTGTGAGGCTGGCACAGGGCCAGGGCTGCTTCATTGTTTCACACAGGGCCGCTGTGAGTTGGATCTGAGGGCGCTTCACGACAACTTGGTGTTTTTTGGGAAGGTTTGCAGAGTCATTTGGCAGAGAGTGTGGATAGCAGGGAGGGAACACAAATTGATAGCCTCTATTTCATGAGCAGAAAAGCAAAACAAACCCCCAAACACATCTTCTGATCCTTGTAGTATTTCACAGTCGTAGAAAGATTTGCAGTTTGCATATCTGATCGGAGACTTGGCATCAATAATCTTATATGCCTCCCATGTTTGTGACAGGGAAAGAAGAAGACCTTAGAGCAGTGGTTTTCAACCTTTGTAAAGCTGCAACCCTTTCATACAGTTCCTCATGTTGTGGTGTCCCCCCACCCCCAACCATAATATTATTTTTGTTGCTACATCATAACTGTAATTTTGCTACTGTTATGAATCGGGCAACTCCTGTGACAGGGTCATTCGACCCTCAAAGGGGTCGCGACCCACAGGCTGAGAACCGCTGCCTTAGATGAACAACTGAACAACGTCACACAGGAGCCGCCCTTCTCCCTCTCCCGTTCTCGGGCAGCATCACTAATCAATCCAAGAACCCTTTGCCAATGAGCCTGGATGTCCCCTCAGCCGGTTTCTTCACACTCCAGGCCCACTAGTAATGTACCAGGATGAGGACATATTAGGGATAAGCCTTAACTGTGAACGAAATCTCAGCATTGCTCTTGGGGGAACCATGGGCTTTGAAGGCTTCTGGGTCACATGACTCAAAAAGTATTGCATTCGCCTTGGAAAACAATTTAAAAAGGCGAGAATGACAAGCCAACAAAACCATTTCCAACTGCACGTGATACCGAGAGAGTCATCTTCAGTTGGCAAGGGCCATTCCTTCGTGGGACAGCCACTTCCTATCTCCCTTCTCCTCCTGCCCTTTCGTCAGCACCCTTTCCCTGGGAGACGGAGGGTTGCCCTCGCTGGAGTTCCCAGAAGGAGCGTTGGATTGGCCCCTATTATAAGCGCATGTACGTGTGTTCGCTATGACCCATCGCTTGCTTTTTTTTGGTCTTCGTAGGAGAAAAGAGGAAACTGAATGACTGTCATCCTCTGGAGGAGGCCAAGAAGCCCCGAGTTACGGGGGATATTCCAATGGAACTAATCCATGAGGTCATGTCTACCATCACAGACCCTGCAGCCATGCTGGGACCCGAGGTCAGCAGGGTAAACCCGGGCAGCCAGCTGGTAGAGCCCTCTGCTCCCCTGGCCACTTCAGCTGTCGGAAATGGAACTGGGGATGGTAATGCTGAGACATTAGCATGCTATCCTACCCTGATTTGCGTTTTATGGGGTGATCAGGGAGGGGAGGGCTGGAAAGGCTGATTGAGAGGTAATTCCCCTGAATGAATATCATGTCACAGGGACACATACTAATCATGCTGCACAATTAAAGTCCTTGCACACACACCCAACTTTTTATTTTGAAAATCATCACGCCATCATAAACATTGCAAAGCTTCAGTGATAAAGACTCATGGTTAATAGCATTAGGGCACTTTTGCTACCCCTCTCTTCTCTGAACTGTTTGGAACCATTGCAGTTAAATACAAATGTCATACCCCTGCATGTATCTCCAGAGCATACTTTTCTTACAAAACCGCATCACTGCATTATCAGTCTCAGAAAACTGAGCACGGTTCCACCGGACAACCCAGAGAACACAGTAAAGGACGTTCCACCGAAACATAGGACCCAGTGACTGCTTTTGCACCACACCAGCTGCAGCGCTTAGGATATCGATTATCTCACCCTGTCACTGAAAAATGTGCAACCTATATCCAAATTCCTCTTATATCCAAAATATGTCTTTCGTGGCACGATACATGCTCCGCTGTTAACCCAAAGGTCAGTTTGAACCCTCAAGCTGCCCCATAGGGGAAAGCTTGACCAACGGCTCCCAGATACATGGCCGTCTAGGAGACCCTGTAAGGCAGCTCGGCCCTGTCCTAGAGGGTGGGTAGGAGTTGGCAGTGACCGAAAACAATAGACAGCAACAACAGCAGAACACGTGTTGCCGTTGCTTGTGGACCCGTGGGACTCTGAAGTAGCATTTAGGTTTTATCTCTTCGTCTTTACCATCTCCTTTATTGGGGACCAGCTCCCCAGCCCTCTTTAGGACTGAAGAATCCCTGGTCACCAGTTTCACATCGTGTCCCTCTATTTGGACTGGTCTGATTATTTTCTCATGGTTAGAGTCCGAAGCATTTGGGGGGTCAGTGCACTGCTGTTATTGCACTGCCCCTTGGGAGAGCAGCTCAGGACACTTCTGACAGCTTCTAAGAAGTGCAGTCATGGTTCCACTGCCATCACGTGACGTGTAGATTATTTTTCAAGACATCTTAAAAAATAACTTTGTTTAGTGCCGTTCTGCCAGATTAAAGCATCACTTGTTCATTGGTTATGTGTCCTTAGGTATTCGTTTTATGGCATGGAGGATAATGCAGAGAACGGGGGTGATGTGAGAAGAAAGAGATCTTAACATAAAACGGTCCTTTCTGTTTCCCTCTAGCTACTGGTAGCCTGTTTGAATAAATGTGTTTTTCAGGGATTTTGTAATCTTACAGATGCGCTGAGCTCGGATTTGCCCTGTCTTGGGCACTGCAGAAGAGGGACAGCTGTACAACGGGAATGCTATTTCCCAGCTCAAAATATATTGGGTGGATTTGGTGTACCAGAGTTGACGTGTCCTGGTGGCCAGCACGTTGTTTCATTTTCAGGGATTTGGGGAACCAGCCGCTAAATATATCTGTAGTTTGAAATGGACCAAGGTTTAACGGGGTCATCAGCTACTACATTGGAAATCAGCCAACACTAGACATCAGGGTTTTTTTTGGTAATTGTTTTCTCTGTTTCTTGAGCATTTACAATCCTCGTGCCCTTGACACGAATCACTAAGACAGAGCCCCTAAGCGGAGGACACAGCGGGGGTGTGGCCAGCTGCACCCGAGTGTGTGAGCGTGCACACTTCTCTGGAAAGCAGGGGAACAAGACAGCAGCTGCCCGGGGCTTGGTTCTGACTCACAGAGACCTGTCTTGTTCGAGAGTAGAATGGTGCGCCATGTTTCCAGGAAGGATCTTTTGGAAGGAGCTGGCCGGGTTGATATTTAGAGATGTTTGTGGTCAAATTCCTACCTCCAGATTTTGATGAGTAGCCAAGTGTTGAATCATTGTGCTGCTCAGGGACAACTCTGAAAGCTGTCTTGCTAAAGGACATGCAAACAGTAGAGACAGGGTTGGCACTCGTGGGCCTGCACTGATCGTTGAGGTGGGTCTGTCACCTGAGATAGGCTAGCAGTCTCTTAAAGCTCAGCCAGGTGGGGTTCCCCCAAACCAGGAAATGGTATAGATATGGGCCGCCGGCCGAATCTAACCCACCCTCTGTGTTTTTAAATAAAGCTGCATCTGAATGTGACCAAAGCTATTAGATTAGACATTGCCTCATTCTAACACCGCTTCATTTGAGTAGCTGAGAACGCTACATCATTTGAGTCATTGAACAGTGACTCAAACATTTGTACTCTGGCCCGCCACAGAAAGTTTTCTGTCTTCATACCTAAACCCAATAGTATCCGTGTACATTTTTGACCCCTGTTCTATTTGACCTTTATACATTTGTGTGCGTGCGTGCATGCATGCTTGTGTGGGCTCCTCTGAAAGCCCACCATGTAGCCCTTACCTGGAACCAGAGGAGGAGCCGGACACGTCCCATCCCCGTTGTCTGATGGAAGAAGTGACTGCCAACCACGTATGTAACTTTTCTCGTCCTCCGTCCCAGACCAATTTTCTCTCGGCACATTCGGCGAGGGACGAGGCAGCAAGGCTGGAGGAACGCAGAGGCGTGATCGAATTTCACGTGGTCGGCAATTCCTTGAACCAGAAACCCAACAAGAAGATCCTGATGTGGCTGGTTGGCCTACAGAACGTGTTCTCCCACCAACTGCCGCGAATGCCAAAGGAGTACATCACCCGGCTTGTCTTTGACCCGTGAGTGGGGCTCTGCCTGTCCTCCTTCCTCGTTGACACCCACTGAGTCTGACCACCTCCTGCCACATTGTGGATACAGAGCTACGTCAAGGTTTTTGTTTATAGACAAGCACACAGCTCAGCATTTCCCCAAGTGGGTGATACCGTCCCCCCGGGGGCTGCTGGAACACTCCAGGGGACAGGTGGGTGGGAGGTGGGGCTGCAACAGCAGATCTGTCCACTGTGCCTTGGGTTATGGGCTGTGGTGCAAACATTTTTCATTGCTAGGAGGGGCTGAGGAATTGCTTTTCTGAAGAGGGGGGAGTGGGTTAAATACGTTTGGGCAACGAAGACCTTGCTAAATGGTTCCAAACGTACACATTTCCTTGTTATAATGAAGCTCTAGAGTTTAAGTTGCTATTTCACTATGTCATTCCTTAGAGCACTAAGAGAATGTCATACTGGAGGATTTTTTTGGACCTTTTTTTAGTAGTAGAAACGTTCACCGCCTCGGTGTCGTCACTAGGCACCGCTGTTGCCCAGGGAAAGTCAGGGGCTATCACAGAGGTTAGCTTTGAAAACCCATGGCTTTTACCTCCGTGAACTCCCTCTGTCCTCATGTGAGGGATCAGAGGAAGGTGGCTACTCAAGGGCGTGTGCACTGGAGAGTTGAGCACAGAAGGTCAAGGGTAGAAGCCCGACTTGAACAGTGGAAACTTGTCAGCAGATTTCCCCCAGGAGGCTTGCTGGGCCTGATCTGGTTTCTAAATTTTTATGTATTTGGGGAGTTGTGTTGTTTTGTTTGGTTTTTAATTGTACATATTAGGGGGTATCTATTATTTCATTTGGTGTGTGGGGGGGTGTCACCCTCTTGAAGTTTCGGTATATGTTTTTTCATTTTTTTTTGGTGTATGAAAACCAGGACCTATAGAATTGTCAGCAAGTGGAGTAAGGGTTTTGGTGGGAGGGGGACACAGGTGGGGGCTGGGTGAAGAGGTGAA